ATAGGCAAAAAGGATTTTTAAAAAAAGAGAAAAAGAAAAAAATTAAAAAAAATTAATTTTTTTTTAAAAATATTTTTTAACAATGTTTTATTTTAATAATATTTCTTCGTCTCTTTTCATTAATCTTTATCATTTTCCATTAATCAATATTTTTTCATTATATATATATTTTTAAGATGATTTTAAGGTTAAGAGCGAAAATATCCTTTACTCTATATTTTAAACAAATAATAGGTAAAAAAGTAGAAGATAAAATTATATTCCATAGTTTTTCTTCCTCACTAATATTTTAATTTAGTTTCTTAATTGAGATTGATAGTTATCTCATACAAAAAGAGTCAGGTTCTTATCACTGTTGAAGAAATGTATCGATACCAGTTTATAATTGATATCGAATAAGTTGTTACTAAATCATTTTTTATTTTATTTCTTAAGGACAGTTAACTAACTGTAAAAAGATAAAAATTGTTTACGACTATATCAGACACCAGTAAGAGAAATCAAATCGTTTAGAGGAAAAAATAAATAAATGAAACAATTATTTCACGAACTAATCTTTTTGTTATCACATCTTGAAAATAGCATATCTTTCCAAAAATTGCTTTGTGGTTTTATTTAATGAGAAAAATTAGGTAGAAATTTGCTTACTTCGGTAGTCGCAATTTGTAACAAGCTTTTTATTTTTATTTATGGGACACTTTAACTCAAAATAAAGCCAAACATTTTTAAGTTCTGCTGCAAACATATAAATACCAAACGGTAAGATTATTTATAGATATATTTCCAACTTTCAGCTATATTTCAGGTATATAAGTACATACTTTTTCCTCTACTCTCAAATATATATATTTTTAAATTATAATTTAAAGTTGGTTAATTGCTAATATCCTTTTCCCTTAAATTTACAGCGAGCAGATAAATTATTTTAAAATCGTTATTCGATTCTAAATGATTGAATATTAATTAAAAACAAATAAAAATGTATAAAATCAGTTATGAATACATCGAACATTTTATATAGATTTTGAACACTAAAGTGAAAATAATAATGTACTGAATAAAAAATAAAAAGTTTGAATTAAAAATCAAGTGATATAGAACTGCATATTATGTAAAAATGTTTGAAATAAACCTTTAATATAATAGAAGAAAGGTTTTATTTACTTTAACAAAATTGGGTTGAACGTTAATGATATATGCATAAAATTTAAAGATAATAAAAATCATATGCTAAATTTAACTTTGATTTTCTGCTAATACTAGACAGAATAAAGACTAAGAACGATCTCACCGAAAAAAAAATTATTTTAATAATCCTTAGTATGACAATATTTGTAGATAATTAGATTTAGTAATTTAAGAGGTTCAACCTTTATTTATAAATTTAAAATAAGATATTTATTCCAAGCTTTATCAGTGCAAATAGTCTCTCATCTACGTTTTCTTTTCTTTTTCATGTGGAGCATTTTCATAAAGATTTAATTCTATGTTTCATTATTTACACAAATTTTATGAATAAAATAATATTAACTTTTAGGTTTTAGTTACACATTTTCTTTCGGAGGGCTGATCAAACAATATGCAAAAATTGATAATGTCTTTAAGGGAATCAAATTTTCACTTACCTTCCTGACTAATGTTTACTTAATATTAACTTTCAGATTTTTGGTAGGCTTTTTTTTCCGGATGGCTGATCAAACTTGAAATTGACAAAATTGCAAAAATTGAAATTGACATTGAGGTATTAAAATTTTCTGTCACTCACCTGACTAAACTTTTAGTACTTTATTTTCCGAATTGCAGCTACTCCACTTATTTTGATAGTAAAAAAATCCAAATCTGTTGAGAAAAAAATATGTTTATTCAAAGAAAGTGCGGTTTTGTATTTGATTTTAAACTTGAAACCGTAAAAAATTTTATTCCATAGTTGTCCTCATTTTTAGTGCTAAGGTAAACTATTGTAAATACATTATAACATCGTGAAAAAACTATATAAAATTGACAAAATGAAAATTGTGTGAAAGAATTAGTGCAAATATATTGCTAAAAATGTGTTTGTTTAAAGACGAAATGTTTTTGCAATGGAGCCATAAATTGATTCTAAAGCGCATAAAAATATGTGTTATCAGTAAACAAACAAATAGAAATATGAATAAATCAAAATTACGACAGTAAAAAAGTTAAGAAAAAATTAACTTAATGCACACTAAAAAAAATTTTCTTCCCTCAGCACCAAAAAAGGTGACAACTATTCATCAAATTTTTTTACAGAGTAATAGTTACCACTAACTTATTAGAATATTTGATCCATTAAGATTTTCACTTAACTAATGAAAATCAGATTAATAAAGCAACATATATCCTAGGTGATATCTTTTTATTCACTAAATAATAAGTACAATAAATACATGCATATCCATAAATTGAGGATAATGCCAGTTCCTGTAAATAAAGGTCCAGAAATAAAACAAACGTGATTTATTTATAAAGACCACTCAATAAACAAAAGATGGAGAGCAAAAAATGGTGTATGTATGATACCATTCATAAAAATTACAAGTTTTGCTTCCTGGAGTTATTATAAAAAATTAAAATTGCATGGTTGGTATGGTGGTTAAAACATTGCATGTCTCCCATGCGATGAAATATAGTCAGTACAAAGCCTAGATATATTGACTATCAAATTATCGAGCTGATCTTGAGGAAGATTACTCCACTAAGCAAGCAATGCTCTCCGAAGTTCCAGAGCTGAATAGGGTGGTGGTTGATGGGCTGCAAATCATCGGTCAAGCATGACCCACACTTGCTCTATCGAATTCAAATCAGGCTGGCCATTAACCATACTGTTGATGACCTCAGATTGAGACTCTTGAACACCTGCCTTAGAATGAAGGAGCATCTATGCCAAGCCCGAAATTCGAACCCTGAACCTTTCTGATGCAAGGCTAGTTCCCTGACCCCTACACAGGGCGGTCAGCATTGAAAAGAGAGTTGTTGTTTCTAGTCCTTTACAATATAGCCTCAGCTATATCAAATCTATGAGTTCAAATGCCCTGGCAAAGTCACACACCGAAATTGGAAGCAAGAGAATGTCCTCCGAGGAATATTCCAAGCAATCAAGAATGTGATCGAGAGAAATTTCTGTGGAAACCCGAGGAATGAAGAGAGAGTTAGACTACTGTTGAAATCAGTTTGGGTTCAAATACTGAAAAGAAAAAAGTTTGGTTCGAGTTTTGATAAAAAAGGAGTGGGTTCAAGTACAGATAGAAAGATGGTAGGTTCGATCTGTGATCAAATGATAGTGTGTTCCGGTATCGATCAAATGATAGTGGGTTCGAGTACTGATCAAATGATAGCGGGTTCAAGAACCGATAAAAGATAGTATGTTCAAGTATTGATCAAAAGAGAGTGGATTCGAGTATAAATCAAGAAAAAGCGGCTTCGAATACTGATCAAATGATAGCGGGTTCTAGTTCTCCATTGTTGCTTCTACTGCTATTGCAACAACCTCATCTGTTTCCACAGAAACAGGCAGGTAAGTTAAATTCCGACCCTTATTTAATTTAACAATATTGCATACAGCGTCACTCCTCTCTGTGCTGAGTTTTTGAACTATTTTCGGGGGGAGGATAAATTCTTATGACCTCTTTTAAACTGTTATCAAGTTCGATAAAATATGGTCGAGTAGTTTTTCATTTATGACCATTTCAATGTAGAACTTTAATCATAACCACCCTATATATTTTTTCGAATTTTTAATGAAAATGATTGTTGTTGTTGTTGTTATTGTTGTTCATTTACGTCGCACTAGAGCTGCACAATGGGCTATTGGCGACGGTCTGGGAAACATCCCTGAGGATGATCCGAAGACATGCCATCACAATTTTGATCCTCTGCGGAGGGGATGGCACCCCCGCTTCGGTAGCCCGACGACCTGCACACGAAGTCGAGCACTTTACGGTAGAACAGTTTAACGAGGACCAATACCGCACACCCTCTGTCCCTACGCAGGCTGATCCAAGTGGTCACCCACCCGCACACTGACCGCAGCCAGTGATGCTTGACTTCGGTGATCTGCTGGGAAACGTGTCTTAACGATCAGTCCACTTCGGGACTAATAAAAATGAAGTCAAAAGTACATTGGGATTCGTAAATTAATATTTTTCAAAGAATAAAACAAGAAAGCTGTCGAAATAAGATTACTCAACCCTAGGAACGGTGAGACTGAAAACATCAAAACCTGTTTGTTGACAGATGAAATTAAAGAGAAGCTGAACAGCGATTATTAGAAACACTTTTAAGTTTTATCAGGTAATCAAAAATGTTTTAACATTCTTAAACTCTTCTTATTAACTACTTAACAAATTTCAGCATCGGTTTTGTTCCCTTCTCGCTTAAATATTTATTTGCGACTTTACATACTTTTTGAATTTATTTTTGAGATGAATTTTAAAGATATACATAAAAAATAGGGTCATCACATAATATCTTACATATTCAAAGTGAAAGTTAATGGGAAAAGAATTCAATCATAAGCCATTTAACGAGTAGATGGGTTACTTTTCATAATAAGTCTCGAATGCCATAAACTTATTTTCTATTATCTTCTTTCTATTATAAGTACGTCTGCTTTGAAATCGCTTCCAACTGTTTATACATAAGCAATCGTAAAATCTTTCAATTACTGAGAAAATTTAACTGATCTTGTTCTTTGATTAAAATGATTGGAAATTATATAAACGTCGGTAGTTTTCAAAAATGCCTTATGTTTGTTACGCAACTTGACTTACTTATTACATCTCATGTTATTTATTTCTAGGCTATCCAAAAAGTTTGAATTATATAGTTGGGAAAATTAGATTGGAAGAGAATTTTTTAAAAATATTTTCGTGTCAACTGGAATTAAAACTTTCTCACCATGTTTGGAAGATTTCCATCAATATGTATTCTATTTTGTTTGGTTTCAATCTCCATTTTCAAGTTTAGTGCAAGTGCAGACGAACGAAGACCCGTATACATTATAGGGCACATGGCAAATAGCATAGAAGACGTGATACCATTTTTGGATGAAGGAGCCAACGTCTTAGAGTCCGACATTCAGTTTTTTCCTAATGGTTCAGTTAAGGAGGTTTATCATGGTTGTCCGGGAGATTGCTTTAGAATATGTGATAAACATGTGCAATTGCCAGAATACTTGACATACTTACGGGACATAACAGATCCTTCAGCAAAAAATTCTTACTACAATAAACTGATCATGCAATTCTTTGATTTGAAATTGGATTCCTCCGAAGATATTCGGACTTCAGGGCGTGAAATTGCACGACACATATTAGATTACTTATGGACGGATGGCAAAAGAGAACGAGAGGTGAGAACTTTAATTTTAGTGTCTGATATAAATAATTATTAAGACTCAAAAGTTTTTTGATTTTTAATGTTACTTTGTTTTGCTGTAAAATATTCATCGTGTACATTGCAATATGCCGTGCCTGACTGTGAAACCAATAGTTGTGGGTTCGAATCCCGTGCAAGGCATGGATGTTTCTCTCTGTGTGTTATTATCCGTTGTGTGATGTGATCCATCCGGTGAACGAGTATCGGTGACAATGCGGCGTGGGTGATGCAGCGCTCGCCTCCGTAACTTAGGTTCCCAGATGCCCACCGGGTAACGTTAAATGAGCAAGCCTGCTGTTAAAAAAATATTGCAATATGCAATAAGGGATTTATCAAGTATCAAAATACAAAAATTAATTTTTTTTGCGCATTTTTCACCGACGATTCTATCCTCTGAAGTGATTTTTCAGTGCCCTTTAACGACCCGTTTTGAAATTTTAATTTTTTTAAATAATAAAAAAGTAAATAATTGTAATAATCATAACTTTTTTTTTAACAAACTAGATAATTAATTAAAATAATCTAATAATCTAGAGCTTTTTTTTAGTTAAAGCAACAAATTCTAAATGAAATAAAAGCTTGCATCATAATTTTGAAGGAGTAAATCTTTAAAAAAGAGAGCGTGTTGTTAAAGGTTGCTGGATTGTAAATTCCCTCCCCGGTGGGGCTTACGTCATCGGAGAAAAATTATTCATCACATAATAACAAAAGTAACTTGATTGAAGTACAAGTATAGTTATCATTGATTTCCCCAACTATTCACAAAATATGTTTTTTTTAACACTGTACTGTGAAACTTGTGTAAGTTGACCACTTGTGGTGCATTTATTTCGGGATCAACTTAGAGAGGTTGTCAACTTATTGAGAGGGATGAGTCATTATTTCGTTGCTTTTATCTATCAATTCTTATAACATGTTATTTTTATGTCACGTTATTCATGGATTTCTTTATATTATCAAACAATATAAAGATAAAAGTTAATTTTTTTAGCGTGACTTTAAAATTAAGAGATAATAATTAACAGAATGAGTTATAATTCGTTGCATAAATTAAATAGATTAAAAATATATTCCTATATGTTAGTGGTACATGTTAGATATATGCAAGAAGATTTATGTAATCAGAAAACGTATAAGGTATTATATCCTGCTGCGTTTTGAAATGTATTTTGTTGCACTGCCGACCGGCCTGTGTAGAGGTTAAGGAACTGCCCTTGCATCAGAAAGGTTCTGGGTTCGAATCCCGGGAAAGGCATGGATGTTCTTTCCTTCTCTGTATTATCTGTCCTTACTGTGGGAGCAACGTTGGCCCACCTAATATGGTGGGCCAACGTTAAGAGTGTCCAACAAATCTGCCTGCAGAATGTAAGTCATTCACCAGGTGGGCATTGGAAAAAAAATTTGTTGTACTTACAATCCTATTTGTTGCAATATCCTCCAATCCATACATGGTGAATTCGGAAAGGAGTTTAAGTTAGCTTTTAATACTGTTTCAAATATTCAGTCAAACTCTGATACTCAACTTAATATGATAGCATAGAAAATTTCCGGGAAAAAGTTTCTTTTCGATGGTCAACTTACGCAGCGGTTAGAATAGCATTTAATAACACTCCTGGACAAAGTTGAATTATTTCAGCTACCAGATAGACTGGTGGTCAAGTTTCATGTGTTTTACTTCTTTTTATTACACGAGAAATATTCGGTTCCTTGTAATAGTAGCCAACTTGGATGGTCAACTTACAAGGGTGGTCAATTTGACAAATTTCACTGTAATAGATATATTGCATAGTTAAGAAAAATTTTAAAAGCAAGAAAAATGAATACTTTTCCATCATTTAGAAATTACGCAGAATGGAAATACCTCGTCAACTCTTCGAGAAAACTTTTGTTTCGCTTATTTTCGGTAAAATTTGGCTCTCAACTAAATCGAAAATCCGTTTGTAGTAACTCTTTAAAGTTAGTTTAAATATAGGAACACTTTGCGAAACCATTGGAATAAACATGCTAATTGCATGAATAGTTTTATTGAACAGACATTCAAGGCAATTGATATTTGCTTTGAATGTCTGTACACAAGGGCGGATCCAGAAATTTTTCCTGGAGGGGGTCATAGACTCAGATCCCCCCCCCCCCACAAAATTTTTTTACAAAAAAAATTTTTTTTAAATATTTTTTTCGAATAAAGAAAAAAAAAACTGGGGTTTTTAACGCTAGTCTTCTCATTTATTTTATTCATCATGAACAATAGAACAATACATAAATAATTCAAGTATTCGAAATCTTTAAATAATAAATGAAATGCGTTTTTCAGAAACTTTGGCAAATCTGTCAATGATTTTTTAAACATCCAAATCAATTTCTCTTTGAATGTTTAATAATACGAGTTCATTTAATCGTTCTTGATTTTGAGTTGCTCTAAGCCGAGTTTTGAGACGTCGAAGAGTTGAAAAGGAACGTTCTGCTGTTGCTGCACTAACTGGGAGTTATTAAAATTCTTAACAACATATTGATTGATGGGTACAAATCGATGTCACAGGCATTAATAATCTTGGAAAGATCGTTTGGGCACTTCAAATCCTGCTTCTGTTTCACGCTACCATTTTGCCACCCAAAGACGAAATTCTGTTTCGACAACTTTTACGGAAGCATTATTCTTATAAGCATATTCTTATTAGCAGATTCTTATAAGACTCGGCAGTTTCATGAGCGTCTATAAGATCTTCTTCTGTAACAGTTTGACGAGGTGAAAAAACTCGTAGATTAAAAAGTTTCATCACATCTGGGGAAAGTCTGTCCTTTCTTATTTCTTCTGTAAATTATTAAAAAAATTATTATTTGTATTTTTTTTTCAATTTGGGGGGGGAGGGGTCACGACTTCTATCACCCCCCCCCCCGGATTTGCCACTGTCTGTACACAAGCTTTACTTTCACAGAATTAATCCAGAGTTATTTATTTATTTATTGCAGGTAAGGGCACTAATTTACATAAACGAGGTGGATAAAAAAGATGCGATTGCTGGATTTCTGCAAGAATTTAAAGACAGGAATCAAGAATCTCGTCTAACGGATATTGGATTCGACGGCGGTCTTCAAGACATTTCTGACATTCAAGAAATGTTTCAAGAGCTAAATGTGTCGAACATTTGGCTTGGCGACGGTACCACAAACTGTTTCAGTGCTCTTCATCCAGTTCAGCGCCTGAAAGCTGAAATCAATGTCAGAAACTCTGGTGGATTCATAAAGAAAGTTTATGAATGGACAATTGATCTGAAATTTAAATTGAGGAGTTCTTTGGATTTAGGGGTTGATGGTTTTATAACGAATGTTCCACGAAACCTGGTCGAGGTGCTGAACGAGTCAAAATACAAGAAAAGTTTTCGGCCTGCAACGGTATCTGACCCACCCTTTGCAAGATTTCAAGGATAGTTTATAACTTTTTAGTTGGAGAATTTTGTTGATATAAAGATGTTTTTCAAAGCTCTTTTGTCATGAAAAATAAAATAAATCACTGTTTGAGAGTCTTAAATTAGAAGCAAAGCTATAATTTTAATACTAAATTAAAATCATTTCTGATTGTCGTATATCGAAGAAATTTGGTATATACGCTATATGAACTATTGTAAACTGAAATCTACAATACAAAATTAGTTCAAATTTAGACCAAAAGATGGCGCTTTTTTATGAACAAAAAAGAATTTATTCAATTTGAGGCAGATGCTTTAAAGTCAAAAGCATCTGCCCAGACCAGACATGGGGGTCATTTCTATTTTACTTGTAGTTAATTTTATTTGATTTGGTCATTTTCAATCAGAGTCGACATTTGCACTGTCTCCTGCTTCATTAAATCATTGTTCTCCCTTCTTGATAAAGTAATAGATGCCCCTTCGAGGCTGAAAGTTATGTATGTATGAATTTTATATATGTATAATGTTGATTTCAATTTTATAAAAGAGCTTAAGAATAATTCCTCACCCCTCCATAAAACACTAAACTCGCATTTATTCATGCCTTCGGTATATTCTCTCGCTCAAATAACAAATTACTACCATTCTGATAAAATAATTTCGTTAGAATTTCTTAGTGAGATTGTTTTATTAGAACGACAGTAATTTCCCATTTGCACGGGAGAATATATCGACGTCACGTTGTTCCTAAAGATAGAGAAACTACTCACAGTTGAATATTCTATTTTGTTTTGAACATGTGCTTGGCAAATTTAATGCAAAATGGATACCCGAAAGTGACGTAAAGTGGATATCTCGAATCCTGATTGGTCGTTGAAACGTGGCATTTGTTTCGTGAGCAAATGTTCGTTCCATTCTATTTCGAGTAAGCCAAGCACATTAAATATCAATTTTTTACAGACACGTTCTACGTTCTTTCACAAAGATTTTAATTCTTTCACTGTATATTTCTTACTTAACACAAAGACAGAGACGAAACCATGTTGAACATAAACTAATTATGCATCGAAGTTGCCAGGTACACTAAGCAGAAATATATCACGGTTATAAATAAATGCATTATCAAATAATAAATCTAAGTTAAGTAAAAGACGCAGACGAGAAAGAATTATATTTCAATGAATTCGATGTGAGATACAGCGCTGTATTTAATGATTAATTAACACGCTGAATAATAACATAATTAACACGCTGAATGCGACGTAATTCTACATGATTTGTCCGCCTGGCCAAACGGTAAATAACTACAAACTCAATTTCCAAATATTAGACAGATTTCGTTAGTCTTTTAAAAGGTTTAGCATGACATATCTGATTTAAGTGGTGAATTATATAAGCCTGGACTGTAAATTTAACGATTGGTTTTAATAAAGGACAATACACCATAGAATGTCCTCAACAAACGACAGAACGATTTATTTTACTTGATATCCAAATTTTTTATTATAGTAGGAAGCTCACTATAGCACATCCTCAACGAACGAAGTAATTAGAAACACAAACATTAAGAAGCTACCGCCAAATTGGCAAGCTATCCTGACATGGCGACACAACACATTTAGATACATGACATTTAACAAAGCCTACAAACTGTTTAGAAATAGTGGTGGATAAAATCTACTAAATTGAATTTATTAAACCAAGAATCACAATGAATAAACTACCACTTGAAAATATTTATTCGCTGTCCGGAGCAAGTTGGCATCGCTGTGTACATAAATAAAACTATTTTTGTGTGTTCTATATTGCATTAATTTCTTCAAACCCTTTCAGTAACGATAACAATATTAAAAAAAAAAAATTTAAAAATTTACTCGAATTATGTGTTTCGAATAATCTTGGCTTCGCCGGTCACCGATGACCCCCGTGGCGCTACAAGCAAACTCAGTACCAGTCACCGGTGACCCCCCATGGAATTCAACGTGTTAATATTCTAACTTATGTGAAGAAATTTAGCTTAACTTTAACACTCCATTTGATTTGTGGGTGATCTTCTTCTTGACGTGATCTTCTTGAATTGTAAGTACCCAATTGAGCCTATATGCTATGAATTAGAGTAGCAAGTTTGTTGCTGCACAAATTTTCACGATCGTATTGCTTTCTTGCAGTGTGAGACATTTTTGGTTCTTTAAATTTTTCCCTTAGATATTAACAAAAATTTAGTACTTTCCTGAAACTGAAAAATCGTTAAGTGATGACATAAAAATATTTCAAAGATAGTCTCAATCCCGTCTTTCTATTCTCTAAATTAATATCCTTGAAGTGCACAAAAGGGAAGAACCAGGAAATGAGGGAATATTTCTGCTGAAATTTTTTTTTTTCGTCTTTTTATCTGCACCATATTTATCTTTTGTTATTCATGCCATGTCTACGGATTTCTGTATTTGTGGTCCAGAGAAATTTTCGAAATTTCTCGAGAACATTCTGCGAATTTCGGACTCTTTTTTTCCAAGCTAAACTTGCAACAAGATAATGTTTCAATCTAGTTCTACTTTTCCAAATTGCGTTCGATTCCTCAAGCGCGCGATTCTTTCACCAGATGGTCGAATTCGAGCATTTTTTTTCCTAGCAGGTTTTTTCTAGAGTTCATGAATTAGACAGGCCGACTTATCATTTATTTTTGGAGCAAAAGCTTTTCCTCCAATAATGAAGAGCTAACATAAGCACATAACANCGAAAGGACACCCGGATGTTATGATGGTTGAAGCATAATTGTGTGGGGGCGTTTCTCGTGATTTGTGTCCCGGGTCCGTTAGTTCTTGTGGTTGGAAGCATGTACTCTGATATGTACGTGGACATTCTGGACAATGCTGCACTCCCAACTCCATGACAATGTTTCGGGGAAGGCCCATTTCCCTTGGATAACTGCACCATTCATACATCGAGGCTTGCACAGACGTAGTTGTTGTTTCTAATGCCACTTGCCACACGGACAAGCCTGCTTGGTGAAACCGAGCAAATTTAAGGTAGAATGTCCGCTTCTTGCTTTTTCAGTGGCGCTATCCTATGGACAAGAATTCGTCTTCAGCCACACACACACGCCACAGCCCGTTTTATAGGGCGCACCCATTCAGACATCCATCCGCAGATCGTAATTTTGACCTGAATCAGCAAACGATTGATCTCCAATCCAGTACCCCCAGAGATATTGATTTGTTATGGTTGCACAGACGTGGTTTGACGAAATGGGTCTTCAAAAACTGCACTGACCTTCTCAGAGTCCCGATCTAAATCCCATAGAACACCTTTGTGACGAATTAGGGAGCAGATTACGTGGTCAGCCAAATCGATCATCCTCAATGCAAACACTCACTTCTGCTGAGGTGGAAGCCTGGGAGTCAATTCCTAAGGCCACCTATCAAAAACCTGTGGAAAGTCTTCCCACTGTGCGGACTGTCACCGATGCAAAAGGGGGAACCAACATCATATTAATATTTGCCTCTAGAGTACATACCACTGGGTGTCCATATACTTTTGGCTAGATAGTGTATACATAAAGGATCCATTATTTGCGATAATAAAACAAATTTGTGATAAGTTCGTTTTTACCATTAAACAATTTCACCGTCATCAAACAATTAGACCATAAAACAATTTGAAAAGGGCTCGTTTTTAGTAGCGGTAGTTCATTTACGTCACACTAGAGCTGCACAGTAGGCTATTGGCGACTGTCTGGGAAACATCCCTGAGGATGATCCGAAGACATGCCATCACGATTTTGATCCTCTGCGGAGGGGATGGTACCCCCACTTCGGTAGCCCAACGACCTGCACGTAAAGTCAAGCACTTTACGGTAGAATAGTTTACCGCACACCCTCGGTCCCTACGCAGACTGATCCAAGTGGTCACTCACCCGCACACTGATCGCAGCCAGTGATGCTTGACTTCGGTNGGCACCCCCGCTTCGGTAGCCCGACGACCTACAAGTGAAGTCGAGCACCTTACGGTAGAATAGTTTAACGAGGACCCATACCGCACACCCTCGGTCCCTACGCAGACTGATCCAAGTGGTCACTCACCCGCACACTGATCGCAGCCAGTGATGCTTGACTTCGGAGATCTGCTAGGAACCGTGTCCTTACGATCAGTCCACTGCGGGATGACTCGTTTTTAGACAAAATAATTTGTAAAGGTTCGATTAATGAATCCGGATGACTCCTAATATACCAAAATAGTGTTCCGTTTCCTTATTTTTCAAGTTTATAATAACTTAATCGATTGATTTAATTTATTTTTAAGATCGTGGATAACAGAAGAAGAAAAATATTACAAATCGAACATAGGGCATTGTCCCCCTTTTGTTTTCAAATTAAAAGTAGCTAAATCTATTTATTTTAAAGTCGTTGATATAACAAAAACGGAGAGAGAAAAAAAAATCTTTCCAATTGATTGTTGTCTTTCTTTTTTCCTCCCTCCAAATTAAAATTAACTATATCTATTGAATTCTTATCCTGAATGTGAGAAATATAAAAAAAATAAATAGAAGAAACTTTTTAAAGTATCAAATTTAATAGAAGATACAGGATGGAGTCCGAATGGACGTACTACGGGCATAGACCAGTAATAAAAAAAGGATGCTGAAGAAACGAAAGTGATTCCATCCTCTTCTCCATCTTCCCTCCTCCTCCCATTCCAATCCTTCAGCTCACCTGGGTCTCTCATGTGGGGTCTACCCATTATGAGGACCCAACTTTATTGGAAAGAATTGGATAAGTGGAGAACCTTTTGTGTCTCTGAAGGGGGGAGGGAAGAGAAGCCATGGAAAACCGTTAGGGCATGTCGCGGTGCCACCTGGCACGTGCCAGTGTGTCGCGGCGTGCCGCTTCGTCTTTGTACCCTTACTTACCTCTCTCTACCTTTGATGTGTTTCTTTTTTTTTTATTTATTCGAATTTTTTGCTGGATCCCTTCTCTTTTCTGTCGCTTCTTCGAAGCACAATGGATATTGAATTCGAAAAGAAAACCCGTGTTTCGTCCCCCCCAACCCCTGTGAAGTCGCTATGGTGGAAATAAAAAGGTAAGAGGGGGAGGGGGGAGTAACCTATAGCTCTAGGAAGAAAAAA